GGGGTTTAGGGGGGTTTAGGGGGGTTGAGGGGGGTTGAGGGGGTTTAGGGGGTTTAGGGGGATTTAGGGGGGTTTAGGGGGGTTTAGGGGGGGTTTATGGTTTAGGGTTCAGGGGGTTTAGGGGGTTTGGGGGGGTTTAGGGTTTAGGGTTCAGCGGTTTTGGGGTTTAGGGGGTTTAGGGCGGTTTAGGGGGGTTTAGGGGGGTTTGGGGTTTGGGGTGTTAATCAACCCCTAAACCCCGAAATCACTAAACCCTAAATCCCTGAACCCTACACCCCCAAACCCTGAACCTGAAGCCGACATCCCGAAACCCAAAGTGCGAAGATACAAGCAAAGGCCCCAAAAAACTGAACCCCCCTATCCCTAAACCCTAAACCCTAAACCCTAAACCCTAAACCCTAAACCCTAAACCCTAAACCCTAAACCCTAAACCCATGGCCCATATCCCTACACCCTGAGCCCTGAAAGCAGGCCCGGGCCTCCCCGGAAGGGAGCGAAATCATCGCAGTCGCAGAGGCCTTCAAGGCAAGAACCTTTGCTAAGGCACAGGACGCGGAATGTGGGCTTAGGGTTTAGGGTTTAGGGTTTAGGGTCCTCTTCAGCTCTATCACACACATACGTGGTTGAACAGATGCAGAGAAAGGAAGGAGGGATGGAGATATAGACAAAGACATGGATAGAGATATAGGTATTCCTATCGACGTGTCGATAGCAACAACGCTAGACAGCTATATGGGGCTTTCCGAAAATAGGGGACCCCAATATAGTACCCTAAATATGAGGATCCTTATTATAAGGACCCCCAAATAAGGTACCCCTTATTTTCGGAAACTCCCATATAGGCTATATAGGTAGATAGATCGGATAGGTAGGTCGATATGTAGGTAGCTCGGTGAGCGAAGCTCCGGGCTGAGGGTCAAGGGTTTAGGGTTTAGGGATTAGGGTTTAGGATTTAGGCTTTAGGGCTTAGGATCTAGGGTTTAGGGTTGAGGATTTAGGGCATGGGGTTTAGGGCGTAGGGTTTCGAATTGAGGGTTTAGGATGCTTCTGGGAGTAGAACAGCCTGTCCAGTTTTCCGAATCCTGCTCTGCACTGAAAGCCCTAAACCATGCACACTAAAGACCCCGAACCGTAAACCCTAAACCCTAAACCCTAAACCCTAAACCCTAAACCCTAAACCTTAACCGTGGCTAGTAAACCCTAAGCCCTTTAAACCTCTTGCGAGCAGAAGTCTTAAATTCGAAGTCTCCCTGTAGGTGCAACAGTGCAAATCCACTCCAAACCAGCTTCTTTTTCTGGGTTCTTGTTAAGGGACTTAATTTAAGTTACCATAATAAGGAAACCCTATTATTTACTATAGATCCCTATTATGGTAACTTTAATTAAGTTCCTTAACAAGAACCCAGTTTTTTGAGGTCTGGGGTTCCTTTGGCTTAGGGGTTCTCGCGTTTGCGGCCCGTGTGCTTGTGAAAGGGCTTAGGGTTTAGGGATTAGGGATTTAGGGTTTAGGGTTTAAGCTTCGGGTTTAGGATGTAGGGTTTAGGATTTAGGGTTTAGGGTTTAGGGTTTAAGGATTAGGGGATCCAGGCCCTGCACCTCTAACTCTAGATTCCGAGACCCTTCACCCCCCTAAACCTCCTCATCCCGACCCCCTTCCATCCTCATGACAACACATAAAGCAACATAAACCCAAAACCCCAAACCCTAAACCCTAAACCGTAAACCCTAAACCCTGCACACATCCTATGCTTAGACAGGCTGCTGTACCCATAACTCCCCATGGCCTCTACAGGAACCCTGCACCCCCATTCTAGTTCCTCATACTCCTGCATACCACGTCTATAAAACCTCCCAAAACACTAAACCCTAACCCCTAAACCCTAAATCATAAACCCCAAAC